ATCTTGGTCACAGTTTTCATCACTTCTTCAATATTATTTTATTATAATATGTCATGAACGTTACATCCTCAGGAAAATATACATGGTAGAGAGGACACGAGTATACTGTACTAAAATGATATGCCTGGTATAACATATAAGCGTGGGTTCACCTCACCCCATCACTCCTGTTATTGGGGATGAATAGTCCTTAATCATCAAAATCATAATCTTCGTCATTAATCAGTGAGTAACGAATTCTAGGGTCAGATGAAGCGGTTGTTCACTATCTAATGCCATGGGACCTTCCCAATGGTTCTAAGTTCCATCAAACAGCTCAATGTTAAATGTCAAATTCATTTGATACGAGTGTTAATCAATAGGGCTGACGAATAACAATGGCTTCAAGACGACCAAACTACACACCAGAAGATGGAGAGACGAAGACGTTTGGGTCCGTCCTGGACCAGTATAAAGTCTTCAGCCCCGTTATTGTAACTCGTCGTCAGTGATGGCCTCAAGTGTTCCCTGCCTCCTACAGTCAGTAGTGTGTGTGGTGTCTGTCGTACTGTTTACCATGTGCTCATGATTCAAGAAGGTGTTGCGGGTTAGTGAGTGGTGGTTTGATTTCTTTTTTCTGAAATTGAAATGTGAAATTCCTACTTAGTGTTAACAATGCAACTCATCCTCTCATATAATACACCCCATTTTTGTACACAATGGTCCCCATCGGATAAAATACTGCGTACTATGAACAGTAGCGTCTCAAACATCCATGTTTTCTATGTGCAGGTCGGTTAGGTTAGGTGGGTGGCTAGGGCTTGAACGTTTTAATACCCTGTATTTTGTCCGCTGTGGCAAGTCAAGAGGATGGGCCGAGTAGCGTGTACATTGTAGCTGATGGTAGCAGAGCGCACAGTCTTCACAGTTGTACTGATACTCATATATTACCTTAGTACACTTCACCTTGTACCAGGGGGGGGGGGGGGTGTGTTCTTCATAATCAAGAAAGCTCTACAAGGGTTGTTATTGTCAATGATTAGACCAACCTGAGTGTTTTCTCTGCAAGGATTACATTCCTGTCAATTGCATCCCTTATTGCCTTTCCATACGTCAGACAGGCAGGGGGATAAATATATCCTTATAGTACACTACAATGTCCTCGCTTGTGGTTCGATTATTATGAGTCTAGTGGTTATTTAGCGTCTTGCTACTGATATCACTTCTAATATAAAGATATACACACACACACATGAATAATATACACATTGACTTGAGAATGGTCCAGGACGGACCGAAACGTCGTCGTCCCTTCAACTTCTAGTGTGTGGTCTGGCCAACATACTTCAGCCACGTTATTGTGACTCATCGCCTGCATATCAATATACAAATTATTATCCAGGTGCGCCTTGATAAGGGTACAGGACGGACCAAAACTTGTTCACTTCCATTTCACTTCACATGTTTGGGTTGGGTTAATGGGGACTGTTTTGATTTGTTAAAGAGCGGAAGTGTCTCAAAAGGTTGGGTGTTGAGGCCCATGTACGGCTGGAATCATTCCGTCACAGACAACTGTTTGTAACCAAGTGAACATTAATACTGACCAGAGTTAAGAGTTACAGTAAACTCTCAGACGATGTATTGTGACAACTATTATTGATGTTTAATTCATACGCCATTTAGAGAGCGCCTAAGAGTCAAGTGCCTCGTTGAGAAGGCTATTAGACAGTGCTTTGAGTAGGCGAGTCAACCGTTATCTTATTTGTTATCACAATCGCATCGTTAATCAAACTTTCTGCCAAATTTATCAAAGCTGTTAAGATAGTTAACTTATCTAAAAAGATATCACAATAATGTGATGGAGTTTACCTGGAGAGGGTTCCGGGAGTTAGTCTACTCCCCGACCCTGGCCTGGACTTGTAATAACTTGATCCAACAGGCTGTTGGATCCTTTAAGCCTTTACATTTCCAAGAACCCGAGGATCAACGTCTCCGCGGCAGTGTCTCTGGCCAAGTCTCCTGGTTGGTATTCTGGTCAACCAGGCTGTTCGAAGCGGCTGCCCGCAGCCTGACGCATGAATCAAAGCCTGGTTGTTCAGGTATCCTTTGAAGATGTTCATCAAGTTCTCTTTTGAACACAGTGAGAGGCCGGCTAGTTATGTCCCGTGTGTGTGGAGGGAGTGTTGAAATCTTGGGCTTTTAAAAGTGATAAAATTCTCTCTTTCAGCGTACCCTATTGCAGCTCTGCTTTACAACGGGGCTATTTTGCACATCCTGCTTTGCCTCCTGGACTCAAGTGGTGTTATTTCTGTGTGCAGATTTGGAACCAGTCCTTCTAGCATTTTTCAAGTGTAAATTATTATGTATCTCTCCCGCCTGCACTCTAGGGAATAGAGATATACAAAAATTTAAGTGGTCCCAATAATTTGGATGCTTTGAGTGGATTCTAGCAGTAAAAGACCTCTGCACGTTTTCTAGGTCAGCAGTTTCTCCAGCTTTAAGTGGGCAAGAGAAAATGATGTCGACCACCCACCATATAGTGACTACAACCAACCCTTGAGGTAGTTACCTTGAGGTGTTTCCGGGGCTTAGCGTCCCCGCGGCCCGGTCGCGGCCCGGTTAATTCCCCCAAAGAATTAAAACAATAACAAATAAAATTGAAATGTTAAAATTTCGATGAGTATAAAGAAAACTACTGAAGAAATGCTAATAATTTCTCATTATATGTACGTAAGTAAATAAGAAGCATATCTCCAATTTCAGCAAAACACGAAGGTAAAATGTTACGCAAAAATTGTTCTGCAAATTAATTGATTGGCGTCAGCACCGTCTCAGGGCCAGGGGCCAGATTCACGAAAGCACTTACGCAGGCACTTACGAACGTGTACATCTTTCCTCAATCTTTGACGGCTTTGGTTACATTGATTAAACAGTTTACAAGCACGAAAACTTCTCATTCAACTGTTGTTATTGTTATAAACAGCCTCCTGGTGCTTCGGAGCTCATTAACTGTTTAATAATTGGAAACAAAACCGCCAAAGATTGAGAAAAGATGTATAGGTTCGTAAGTGTTTGCGTAAGTGCTTTCGTACTCACCTAATTGTGCTTGCGGGGGTTGAGCTTTGGCTCTTTGGTCAGGAATCTGGCCTCTGGACCCATAGGTTCACCATCAACACATATACTCAGAAGTGCAAAAAAAATGTTCTGCATCCTTATCATTAGTTGTGTACATAATAGTGGCCAGCCCAATACACTCCCAGTAAGTGTGGGACAACTGATACACTCCCCCAACACTCCCAGTAGACGAGAGAAAACGGTCACAATATCCCTATTATGACCAGGCAGGATAATGAAATACGATAATGTTGCAAACAGATAAAGTGAATACATTGATTCTGGAGGCAGTTGAGCCTGTATTGCTGCCAGACGTATAAATGATTATTACCACGTAAGCTCCTGGTGAGTTTTAAGAAAAGATAATGTGTAAATTAGAGAATAAATAAACCGCCAGAAGGATTCATTATATAGTGTGACAATGTAAGAAATTGGTGGTCAAATGAGTCAGAGTAGACTGTTACTGTATGATCATTTGGGCTACTCGGAGGCACTGAGGGAACGTGAATTCAATTGGTAATTGAAATGGAGGGCGAGCGGTCGTGCTTTGTTGACTTCTGGGAATTTATCTCAGATAAGTCCTAAAGTACACTTTTTAAGTATTGGCCACAGATCTACTTTAATAACTATTCTTACAGTATGCAACTGTAATCTTGTTTCACTGTTATTATGTTTGTAGCAGTGAGTTTAGAGAGGATATTGTTATGTCTGTGGGAGCTAGGGGATATTCAGACTGTACTTTCTTCAGAGGTGCTGACCAAACCACACACTAGAAAAGTGAAGGGACGACGACGTTTCGGTCCGTCCTGGACCATTCTCAAGTCGATTGTGGACGGGCCGAAACGTCGTCGTCCCTTCCCTTTCTAGTGTGTGGTTTGGTCAACATATTTCAGCCACGTTATTGTGACTCCTCGTCTGCTTCTTCAAAGATTTTTTTGGCCTGGCAAGAGTGTTTGGTGTGTGAGCCTTTATCCCTGTCCCAGGAAGAGTCTGGTCATAGAGTAAATAAGAACAGGCGGTGCCAGGAGTTTTGTCATGGGAAAGAGTTCTGTGATTAATAAACCATAAAGTATACATACTAGTTATTCCTTGTGTCCAGTGTGGAGGAGTCTATCATGCCCTGAAGCAGGTACATTTGTGTAAATGTGGCCCCCGAACACTTTCCTTGCGGGCCGGGCCTTGACCCACCCCACCTAGAGGGCTTGCTAGATTTTATTTTTAAAATAAATGCGGCAGCCCTGGAGCACAGTATAGTGGTGGGTTTACAGTGAGTATACCACAACAAGTTTGACAGCCCCATGACACCCCAACACTGCTTGATACATGCTTGATGGGGTTCTGGGAGTTCTACTCCCCGAGCCCGGCCCGAAGCCGAGCCAAGCTCACAGGGTTGGGGGGGATAACTGCCACCATCTCCCCAACACTCACAGTGAGGGATAACTGTCACCATCTCCCCAACACTCACAGTGAGGGATAACTGTCACCATCTCCCCAACACTCACAGTGAGGGATAACTGCCACCATCTTCCCAACACTCACAGTGAGGGATAACTGTCACCATCTCCCCAACACTCACAGTGAGGGATAACTGTCACCATCTCCCCAACACTCACAGTGAGGGATAACTGTCACCATCTTCCCAACACTCACAGTGAGGGATAACTGTCACCATCTCCCCAACACTCACAGTGGGGATAACTGTCACCATCTCCCCAACACTCACAGTGAGGGATAACTGTCACCATCTCCCCAACACTCACAGTGAGGGATAACTGTCACCATCTCCCCAACACTCACAGTGGGGATAACTGTCACCATCTCCCCAACACTCACAGTGAGGGATAACTGTCACCATCTCCCCAACACGGGCAGTAAGCGAGGGGAAAAACTAGGAGTGAAGGACTTACCTTTCGTTTGGTCTCGGTGAAGGGGAGGGCCAGCCAGGGCATGTCGCTGAAGTAGTCCTGGAAGGTGGTCTCCTCTGTGTCGCTGCTCACCAGGATAACCTCCAGCTGGTGCTTCGTGTTCTCCTTCAGGTGCTTGTAGAACGCCACCAGCTGAGGTGTGAATGCCCTGTGGGAGGAGGAGACAGACGAATGTTATCTATTGTCTATATGATTGTTACCGGAACCCGCTGATGAACTCACTCGGGGCTGTTATAGAACATTAAATATTGTTAATTTTCAGTAGAGTTAATTAAGTTAATTATCAGTAGAACGCACTAGGCCAGTTTGACTAGCACTTGGAAGGGATATGAGGACGGAAGGAAGGAAAAATGTCCAAACACTTAGATCATTGGGGGATCGAACACCACCACCCTGCAAGAAGCGAGGCCATTGCTGTACTGGCCAGTCCAAGATTGGTGAAATATGGATGCCACGCCAGGAAAACAGTGCACAGTATGATGGCATAGAGACCACACATTATGCGGCCATCTTCTTCCCTAATAATCTTTCAGACCACCAAATCTCCCGCAGGTTAGTTATCAACTTGCAGCAAGAAAGAAATCTTGCATCAAAATTTCCAATATTAACACACACACACACACACACACACACACACACACACACACATTAGTAGGAATGCATTAGGAAGTGATGTGGTGGAGGCTGACTCCATACACAGTTTCAAGTGTAAATATGATAGAGCCCAATAGGCTCAGGAACCTGTCCACCTGTTGATTGACGGTTGAGAGGCAGGACCAAAGAGCCAGAGCTCAATCCCCGCAAGCACAATTAGGTGAGTACACACACACACACACACGGGAAGGGGGGGCTCGTAGCCTGGTTGATAGCGCACAGGTCTCGTAATTCTGTGGCGCGGGTTCGATTCCCGCACGAGGCAGAAATAAATGGACAAAGTTTCTTTCACCCTGAATCTGAATGCCCCTGTTACCTAGCAGTAAACAGGTACCTGGCAGTTAGTCAGCTGTCACGGGCTGCTTCCTGGTGTGTGTGTGTGTGTACTCACCTATTTGTGCTTGCGGGGGTTGAGCTTTGGCTCTTTGGTCCCGCGCGCGTGTGTGTGTGTGTGTGTGTGTGTGTGTGTGTGTGTGTGTGTGTGTGTGTGTGTGTGTGTGTGTGTGTGTGTGTGTGTGTGTGTGTGGTGTGGGGAAAAAAAAAAGTAGTTAGTAAACAGTTGATTGACAGTTGAGAGGCGGGCCGAAAGAGCAAAGCTCAACCCCCGCAAACACAACTAGGTGAATACAACTAGGTGAATACACAAAACTATTGAGAAGAGTCAAGACATATAAATTATAAATTGTGATGCTCTGGAAACGGACTCGGACACACTCCAGAACTGGTCTGAAAAATGGTTCCTAGAATTTAATTCAGCCAAATACGAATCTGTTTATTAATCTGCTTATTATTAAATTATTAATATAATTATCAATATTTAATAATTAATATATTAATACTAATTATATTGATTAATTTAATAATGTAATTAATTAAAACTACTAATCTATTAACCTAATTCAAATTATTGATAGATTAACCTAATTACAATTATTAATCTAAATATTATTATTATTATTATTAAAATTCTAAATTAGTAATTAGTAATATTAAAATTAGAATCTGTATTATAGAATGAAATTGACTGAATTCTCCTCTAGAATTTAGCAGTAGCTACGCAGGTTTATTGCCTATGCCTGTTTGAACTTCAATTAAGGTGTGATCTGAGTAACAGGTATTTGTAATCATTATGTTCCTGATCAATTCATCGTTATTGGTGAAAATAAGGTCTAGTGTGCGTTATCTTTTCTAGATCAGGCTATTTGCTTAGTTTAGGCTACTACTTGCTTAGTTTAGGCTACTACTTGCTTAGTTTAGGCTACTACTTGCTTAGGTTAGGCTACTACTTGCTTAGTTTAGGCTACTACTTGCTTAGTTTAAGCTACTACTTGCTTAGTTTAGGCTACTATTTGCTGGTTTAGGACAAATCTTTCGCGCATCCGTAGTAGATCATTGGTGTGTGACTGTTCTGTTAGGCTGCTTCCCGTTATTCTCTCAGATATAACTGTCTGATACGTTCTTCCATTTCAGGCGCCGTAGGTTGAAGTCTCCAAGCAAGATGATTTTTGAGGCTAGATTTGTGATGTTTTATATAGTGTTCTATTTTCATTAAATGGTCTTTAAACTGGCGAGGATTAGCCTCTGGTTACATATATACAAGGACAATAACCACACTAAGGATCCCTATTTGATTATCAGCACTTCCACCATATCATTTGTGGTGTTTAGCAGCTCAGTGCAGATGAGTTTGTCTTTGCTGTAGAGGCAGACCCCGCCCTGTAGCCTGTGTCTCATGTCATATCTGAAAAGATTGTGCTCCGGTATCCATATTTCACTACCATAGTAATCGTTCGTGTGAGTTTCAGTTAGGGTTCACATACAGAATTTGCCTCATTAAGGAGACCAGCTATAAAGTGGGATTTGTTTGATTTGCGCGTTCTTATAGCCGGAATTTTGGCAAATGAAAATGTTGTTATCGTGTTTGTGGAAATGCTGCATGTTTGGAGGGGCAGGTGGGGGTGACGATAGACAAGGAGGGGCGGATGGTGGAAGAGGAAAAAGAAAATAATTAAGGAAAGAGAAAGACGGGGATATAAGAGAAGAGAGGATGATCTGGGACAGAGCGGCTGGAAATTTTTTTCCAGAGAGGAGTGCCGGTGAGAGTTGAGGGAGACGCCCCGGGGACCACTGCCACCAACACCAGAATTTTGGTTAAGGAAAAACTGGAAGGTGTTTAAGAAAAGCATTTCAGATCAAATGTGTGTAGAGGAAAGGAAGACCTGTAAGACAGTTTGGAAAAGGCTGAACAAATTACAAATGGTCTGGAATACTGTGAGGAACTTTGGAATAGTTAGAAAATCAAGGAGGTTGAAAACAAACTAAGAACTGGTAACAATTAAAATGGGTGAACAAGTGGAAAGAGCCTTAGTAAGGCCTAGATTTCTAGGTTTAGAAAGGCTGGAGAAAATGCGGTGAACGGCCTGGAAATGCTGTATTAGGTTTAATTATCACCATATTATATATAAATGCTAACAATTTACGCGCCAATTTTGAGTATATTTGCGCATGTGTACACATAAATAAAGGGGAGAAGAAGCAAGACGGGTGTCAGCAGCAGCTGCGGGAGGAAGAAGTGAGGACGCAGAGGTTAAACGAAGAGTAAGAGAATGATAGGGATGGCGAGGGAGGGAGGGCGAGGGGGGGGGGAGGGAGCCTGGAAAGCTGGAAAGACAGCAGCGGCCGGCCTCCCAAGAGGAAAGACAGCAGCGGCCGGCCTCCCAAGAGGAAAGACAGCAGCGGCCGGCCTCCCAAGACGCAGTCACCAATCTTAACAAACTGTGTATTAAAAAGTGGTTTGTTCTCATATATAAATTAATATTACATAAAAACCCTATGTATAGTTAGGCGTAGGTTAGGTTAAGTGTTTAGGTTCTGTTGATAATTATTTGTATTTGAAATACGTTGGTGAAGCAGTTATAGAATTGTGGTTCGAACAGAGGACGTGAGCGAAGCACTTGTTCCGGAAGTGTTCGGACGTCATCAGTTGTGAGTCGTGTGTAGACCGCTTTTCATTCATAAACCTGCCCGTCCTCGCATGCAAAGTTCCAAGCTCGTTAATCCAGCCGCCAAACCCCCTGTTTATGAAGGAAAAGCAGTTTATACACACGACTCACAATTAACAGATGACGTCCGAACACTTCCGGAACAAGTGCTTCGTTGATGACTTATTGGAACCACAACGCTATTATATAAATGCTTCACCCACGTACTACAAATAATCGCCAACAGAACCTAAACACCTAACCTAACCTAATCAATATGTACAGCATGCTTATAATATAATAAAATTTATTTATATTAGAGAAAATTCCTGTTTTGAATGAACAGCATATTAAAATTGATGAATGCGTCTTTCAGGTCGACCGCTGGATGGAATGGACCTGGTTTCAGAACGGGATGATGTCAAGCAATTAACCGGCGCCTTAAAAGTCCTCGAAATGAATCTCAAAGAACCCGACTTGCGTCTTTACCCTGACAAAGAAATGTTCTTAATGGAATTACTGATCACTGATGAATCCCAGTCTCACTATAACGAACCACAGACCTCGTATTTTAATGTTGATAATGTGAAGAAATTGCTGTTAGATCAAGTTCCACCCAACCAATCCAACCCATTGAACCAGAAACAAAAAATCTTTTCGATCTTTTAAATTTGTTGGTATGAAGAATTTTCTTTGCATTTTAATATTTCCAGTTCATTAATGTGAAGATTTGCATGGTCACCTTCCACCTCGTTATTACAAAGTTTTTCCTGCACCGAATCTGACGGTGTCAGAGTGTGTGTATTTGCCTTATATAATGAGGGTAATTATTTTCAAAGACGGTATGTATCATTAGCACGCTCACTCGCTCACACACACTGCTTGAGTACCTGGTAGAGCTAGGACTTATCTCCCCCCAAAAGAACTAGGAATCAAAAGGCTGGCATACCGAAAGGGGAATTATGAACAGATGAGAAGTTTCCTAAGTGAAATACCTTGGGACACAGACCTCAGAGACAAGTCTGTACAGGGTATGATGGACTATGTTACCCAAAAGTGTCAGGAGGCAGTAAACAGGTTCATCCCGGCCCAAAGGGAAAAATCCGAGAAGCAACAGAAGAATCCATGGTATAATAGGGCATGTATGGAAGCGAAGAAACTGAACAAAAAGGCGTGGAGGAACTTCCGGAATAACAGAACACCAGAAAGCAGAGAGAGATACCAGAGAACCAGGAATGAGTACGTCAGGGTGAGAAGAGAAGCAGAGAAAAATTTTGAAAATGATATAGCAAACAAAGCCAAGACCGAACCAAAGCTACTCCACAGTCACATCAGAAGGAAAACAACAGTGAAAGAACAGGTATTGAAACTTAGAACAGGCGAGGACAGGTATACAGAGAATGACAGAGAGGTGTGTGAGGAACTCAACAAGAGGTTCCAGGAGGTCTTCACAATAGAACAGGGTGAGGTCACTGTGCTAGGAGAAAGGGAGGTAAACCAGGCGGCCTTGGAG